GTTTCGTATGCTGCTGTAAGCACGCAATGCATGAGTTATACTACAGAGTGACGGATACTTTCTGTGAGCAGTATTGTGTTGGGAATAGTCATGCTGGTTTTTGTTAGTTCTTCTCAGTGGGTTGGTTTTACTGTTGGTTTTTGAGCACATGTTATTATCATGGTTAAATGAATATGTCTGTTGTGTTATGGAGGAGTAGTTGGGGATATATGTGAACGACGGGTTTGTTATTGTCAGTTTTTTTGTGTGATTTGCACGGTGCATATGGTCGTTTATATTATGGAGTTTCAACCGTTTTACGTGAAGTGGCGTATTTCTCTGTGAAAATGCAATATTGGCGATATGCAGTAGTCGTGAAATTATTTTCACTGGTCTTTGTCATATCGCGGGTGAAACTCTTTATTATATTCTCTATGCTAGGGGGTGATAGACAGTTTATTACCTTTCCGAATGCATTGAAGATATTATTGTTGGTTTCTCAGTCGTTTGTCTTTCGTTCGTCTGAACCGATGTTATATATTCTCATTGCGTTAGTCTTTATACAGTATGTGTGGATTTGATATGCAAATGTGTGGTATTGTGGAGGATAAACTTGCCCTTCGTGACGAAGGGGCGGAGCTCACTGAGTCCACGTCCATGGACTCAATCAATGAATTTGACATAGGTCCCCGTTTCGATTCCCGGGTAGGACATTTCTCCGTCATTAAAGTTTTTCGTGCATATCTCTTCGAGCTGTCCGCATAATCGAGTTTTCCGATTTTGCATAACCTCCGCGTATAGAGGAGTCTTTTGGTCTATCTGACAGCCTTCCACGCTTCGTAGTTAAGTCAGAATAATTCTGCACGCACGCACAACGAGAAAGTGCCTGTTGTTGCGGTATATGCTCCGCTCGCTTCGCAATTAATATCAGAAAATAACACATATTTGCGCATCAAATTAACACACACTGTACTTTTATGCAACTTCTACATAATTGATTTAGTTGTGTTTCTGATGAAATCGTATTCTTTCGAGCCGTCCTTTCCCTTGAATGAGCCGTTGTTGATGATATTCGACGACTTCCTCACGTCTGAGGAATGCGATAGGATTGTGAAACTGTCCCTTAAATAATCGTAAGGTAGTATGGGGTAATTAATTATATTAAGGAACGTAGTGTTTGTTCACGACATTCTGCATCATACATGCACTTTGCAAGAATGATCGATTTTTGAGGGCGAGCGCGATTCGCATCAGTGGTCGATATCGACTCTAACAAACAACTTCTATCTACTATGCTCACTAGCAACCGTTCACAGCACTCTCAGCGGTCTAAAAACGTCCCTATTGGGAAGGAGGGTCATGCTGTGATGGAAACCCGTAAACGGGAGGTGTTCATGGACCTCAGCAACACTTCGAACTTTCTGCCTGCTCACACGGGTGAGTCTCGTCTTGGTGGTGATTCTGGTTGGTTTTGCAGGATGACAACAGGCGCGGCCTCGCGAGGCAAGGCACGATTAGGGGACGATCTTGATGATACTATCATGCAGGGCACCACACCGGCTAGAATGGAGTCCATCAGCCCAGTGATTGACTGGAAGGACACCATCCCCCCAGAGGATCGTCAAGTGACGTTCACTCAGGAGTTCATCCCTCCAGTGAGGGACGATTTTCAGGATCTCGGCGACCCTCAGTTCG